TTTCTTTCTTTCTTTCTTTCTTTCTTTCTTTCTTTCTTTCTTTCTTTCTTTCTTTCTTTCTTTCTTTCGTGCAGCTCGAGACAGAATTCGCAGGATTGTTCACCAGGACTGTTTTCCTTTGTGAATTTTTAGTCTGGCTCATGTTTGTTTCTGCATCATTTAGTTTTCCCATTAACAAATCACAGCATCCAAGAGTAGCTCTGGCAGTTTTGACTTTTAACAGCTTTCAGATGTGTCTTTTCTTTTTGTGTGTGTGTCATCAGATAATCTGACACTGGAATAAACCACAGAGCATGTTCATGTGAAGCCCACCACAGCATGAAGCAAAGAAAAGTTTCTTTTTGTGGCTACATTTTAAAACTGTACAGTTCCACCCTTGTATGTTCTTCTTGAATGTAAAAATGTATATACAGTTATAGCCCTCTCACTTCATCTCTATTATTCTATTTATTTAGACTAGAACTCATCTCTGCTCCTATAATTGCATTTTGTAAAATACATTTCACTGAGGTATTGTAGGATCTATTGTTCTTATTATCAACAGCATGACTGAGATTGTAAACTACAGTATATCTGTTGTGTATAAATGAAAGATCTTTGCTTCGTTGCAAAGCGTATTGATTAGACTATGGGAATGAAMATGTCAGGGTCTGCTGCCCATGATTGTATTAAGTATAAAGATGGAAACAGATTTAATGCAAAAAAAATGCACAGCTAAGTTCAGAGATGAATCTAATAAACCTCTTGCAAGCTTTGATTCTAATGTGTTTTCCTTCAAAATGACCAGATGTTATTCTCCAGACTGCATTTTAAAAAGCTTAAAAAAACATTTATTTTACGGCGGTGGGGGAGAAATGGAAGTGTGCCAGAGTTGTAAATTCTCACTGCTGGGGATAAAGTCATCAGGACCTCTGACCGAGGCTGACTCKATTACAGCTCGCACCTGAGACAGCAGGGATTAGATCATCCCATAAAGGAACTGAGCCTGAAAAGAAAATGAAAAAATAGATTTTTATCTGGTATATTGAATAGTTTTAGTCTGAGCTGTAGACGTGGCCTCTATACGGTTATTTTCATGATCTATTGATTAACCTACATTATATTCTAGCATGGCTCACTGCTCACACTGTCTATGTTTGACCTATTTTTCCCTAAGTTAAGTTCTTCTATAGAGGTTTCATCGGAAACATGGACACTTTAATAAACCACAGCTCGAGTTTATGGTTTTGCGTAAGACGGCATGTGATCTCCACTGCTATYGACTTTAAAATCAAGAGGCGGATTATTTATCAGCTTGTCTACAAATTAAACGTCAACGTGTAATTGTTTTTTTTATTTACGTCACAGTCCTAATGATCCCGAAATAATGTGGAGCTTCACGGTCAGAGCTGGTTTAAATCTGCTCAATGAAAAAACGTGGCCTCAGGCTTTCTGCCAGGGTCATCAGTCTGCTGATACAGGTCACTATTTTGTTTTTTTTCTTTTAGCACAGTATTTATATCCTGCTGTTTGGAAACTGTTTTTTTAAACTGATAAAACAGATTATATATAGCGGGTAAAATAAGTATTGAACACGTCATCATTTTTCTCAGTAAATATATTACTAGAGGTGCTAATGACATGAAATTTTCACCAGATGTCGGTAACAACCCAAGTGATCCATACAT